GGCGGCGGCTCCGGCTCCGGGCGGCGGCGGGGGCTGCCCGGCGGCGGCGGGCGGCGGCTCCGTGCCCGTGCTCTTCTGCTTCTCCGTGTTCGCGCGGCCCTCGAGCGTGCCGCACGGCTCGGGCTACGAGCTGCTCATCCAGAAGTTCCTCAGCCTCTACGGGGACCAGATCGACATGCACCGCAAGTTCGTGGTGCAGCTCTTCGCCGAGGAGTGGAGCCAGTACATAGACCTGCCCAAGGGCTTCCTGGTCAGCGAGCGCTGCAAGGTGCGCCTGGTGCCGCTGCAGATCCAGGTGAGCGCCGCGGCCGCGCTGCCACAGGTGCCGCCGCCCGCCGCCCGCCCGCCGAGCCCCGCCGGGGGCGCCTGGGTGCCGCGAGCCGCCCCGGCCCGGCGGCAGGCGAGAGCGCAGCCGCGGCCGCCGGGACGGAGCGGCCGCCGGGACGGAGCCTGCGGGGCAGAGCGGGACGCGCGGCCGCCCCCTGAGCGCCGCGGGGCGAGCGAGCGGCCGTTGTACCCGGCGAAAGTGGAAGTAACGGCCGCGGCTGCGGTGGTTAGTGCTGCTCCTTTAAGCAGGACTTACTGTTAGGCTGCTGTTGTTAGCCGGTTTAAAGCAGGGAGCACGTTCCTAGGTGGAGTTGAGCGCTGCCAACTCCGGCGTGGCGCTTCCAGAGGGCCCCGCCAGAGCCCTTCCCTTCTCCCGCAGGTTGTGGCTCCCGAGGAGCCTGTATTCCCACCTTGCCCCAAAAGGGCTCTCCGTGACAGACAGATTCACAAGGCGCTAGTTTTGTAGCCGTCAACCAGGAAACCAGACTACCAGACAGATACAGTACGTGTGTTTCATACTGAGATACCTCTGTGCATGCTGGAGTTTGATCCAGTCATACTGTGGTACCTGCACTCGGACCAGAATTGCAGTCTTTCTCCTTATTCCAACTTTCAAAACCTTTTTTTTTTTTTTTTTTTTTTTTTTTAACACAAAGTTAGCATTTTAATTAAGAAAATTTTGTTTTTAATTTGTAAGTCAGAAGTTTTGCTCGGTCAAGTCCAGATTATTACTAGAAAAAAAATGTCAAATCCTGAAGTATTGCTGTCTTTCTCTGTTTCTAGAAGGGACCTTTTTTTCTTTCCCGATTTGTGTGCTCTCCCCAGTCAGGGTGTCTTGAACTCATAAGCTGTCAAGATATTTTCTTTTTCACGTGCACTGTACATCAGAGACACTTTTGAAGTATTTTTTCTCCTTCTGACTAACCATATATAGGTAAAGACTGGTTAAAAACATAAAACTCACGTAGTAACTTATTTTGTCATTTTTTACTTAYTTTGTCATCATTTTTAGCTTAAAGCTTTTCTCCTTTTGTATGTTGCAAACAGAATGGGTGGGAGTCCAGCCAGAGAAACTGGGAAAAAGGGCTGTTTTCAATGGTGTGATACTTAATTTAAGTATTCTGTGCATAGATCCTACATAATTTGATGCGCTGTCGGTGATGTAGGTTAGAATTTTATTTATTTCTATATCCAGATCATTTTTCTGTGTAGCCTTTTGCAGATTGATCTCTGTCCTGAAACTAAGTGCAACCCAAGCATTCATAGCAAGATGTCCATCTCGGTGTTAAGGTCAGTATTGGGATGCTGAATGGTATTTCACTGTTGAGTGTAAACACACTAGTGCATCCTTAACTGAATGCAGGAATTCAGGATCAACAGCCTAAAATATGATCTCTCTAATTCATTAGCTGCTTTCAGTGATGCTGTTAAATCCTGTGACAATGGCAGCTGTTGATACGAAAACGGTAGTAGTTGTGTGTTATTTTAGTTGCCTTTTTGATGTACTTCAGCAGCTGAGAATGAGGAGGAGAGGACATAATGATGTCAATCAGCCTTCCTTGAGCCATCAGCAGGTGCTCAGAGATCTCTTAATTTGAAAATACTTGCTCTAATGTAAGAGCACAGATCACAGCTGCATTTTCTAAGGACCTTCAGAATATACAGAATATATGAGGTTTACTGGAGATGATATTTTCTTCTTCTGTCTTAGTTCATGCATTGCCTCTGTTGTACGCTTTTTGTTTCTTGGACTCTCTTTTTTCTGCAGTTGTGCATCACACACGTTTGTCAGCCCTGTGGTGTATTCAGTAGAAATACCATTTTGAATGCCTTGTGAAAGGCACTGATGCTGTTTGATTTGGACCATTCAGTTATAAAATTCAGTTATAAAATACATTTCTTTAAATACTTATGCTGCATCTTATTTCCATACAGATTTTTTTCCTGTGGGTTTTGATAAAATATGTATATGTATTTAATTATGAATGATTTCTTAACCCATAGGACAGTGTTTATGAACTAGAACATTCTGCCATTTAGATTACTTTTCAGTGTAGACTAATGTGTGGAAAGGTATACATTTTGTTGCAATAGCTCAAGAAATATCATCACCAAATGATGTTTGACTGGAATATTTCAATTCCTGCTCTACAGTTCAGGGAGATTGTAATCTCACTTAGAAATCACCATATGTTCTCCTATGAAACCCACTTCACACAGTTCACTTTAAAGCTCTATCTGTATAGGAACGTTTGTACTAGGTGTTTTTACTTTAGTCATATTTGAGCATTTGTGCTGTACCCAAATATGTACAGTTGTTTAGTTAGAATAGCATAAAATATAATAACAAGGTTTTAGAGATTATGTTATATTGCTATCCAGTGTTACACAGAGTGATTAAGTTACAGTAAGCCCTGATGCTCTGTTTGGTTACTGATATTAAATTTTTTTGACCATGTACTTCCTACAAAGAGGCAAGTTTTCTTTGTCATGCTGTAGTTGGTGAGGTGGATATTTGCTTATTGAGGGACTGGGTGGTATCAGAAGGGGTCAGTTTACTTTTCATGAAGTTTACATATATTAAAACTTTTGATAGAATAATATTTATACTGTTAGAGAAGGACTGCTTTAACCTCCTTAAAATCTAAACACTGTTAACTTTAAACGTTGTTAAGTAATACTGCTAGAAATACTATGTTTTGCTGTGATTGTTGTAGCCTTTAGAGAACAGAATTTTAAGAAAAAAAGCCTCTTTGGAGATACCAGAAGAAAAGACAAGCCCACTTGTTACGGTTGTTAGTAGCAGAGTTCTAGCAACATTCAGATATGTGGCAGGCAGGAAGAAGATATTTCACTGTGATTTTCATAGCTTCAAGGTGACCTCTCTTTAGTAATAGTTATAGCCTACACTTACAGATTCATGATATTAAGATGCTTTGGCAAAAAATTGGCCTAAAACTGAAGTTACTGAAATAATTACTTAAGAAACTTTTATGTCGGGTTCTCTGAAAAGCAGCTTTTGTCCAGTGCGCATACTACTTGCTTGGAAAAGCGGCCTGGAGTATTATACTTAGTTATTGCTGAAAGATAAGTTAAATAAAACTCCTTGTATAAAGAATATTTTTTTTTTTAGCACATACCTAGTATTACTGTATTCCAATGCTTCTGAAATACAAGCAACACTAAGTCAGGAATGTAAGGATATTTCCCAAAGACCATGAAGAGCCAAAGCACAGATTGAAGTTTACCAGTCTAGTGCTTTACATGGGTGAGTTGCATTGCTTTTTTTTTTTTTTTTTTAAGGCAGTTGTAAATTCTGATATATTGTTGCTGCACTAAAAGCAGAGCCTGAAAACCTGGGAGTAGAGCAAAGGAGGAAAAGGACAGGACTGGAAAAAATGGGAAGATATATTCCTTCAAAGCCAGATTACATACTACCCTATGTTTGATCTGCAGTATTTTGATAATTTTTGACTTTGATGACTTCAATTTTTTTGAAATCTAATATTACTTTAATACATGCATGATGTATTTTAATCCTAAATCTGTACTTTTAGATGCCGATTTAACTGTAAATCTGCATTTTGACTTCACATAAGTATTTTCATAAGTTGAAACGCTTGTAACCTATTTGTCTGTGAATTATATTAAACAGAATTATAAATTCCATAAAAATATATTCCATATAAATATGTTCATTATAAATGCAGTTGCTTCAGGTTTTCATTGTTTGAAAGGTGTAAAGCAAAGCAAAATCAAATTTTGTAATTGTCCTTCTAGACACAAAGGAACAGAAATAGGATACTCAGCTTCTTTTCATTGTTGTCTTTTTATTATATCTTTGAAATGTCAAGGCTTCAGGATTTTCCATTCTTCCATTTTAGTGGATAACCTTGGCAAGAGATTAGTAAGGTGACTAGTGGTATCATATTAGACTATTTCTCAGCCTCAGTTGTCATCATCATGAATGGTAAGGGGGGAACTGTATTTTGAATGTGTAATGGTTCTCTCAAGTTTAAATAGGGAAAGTTAGGCCAAAACAGCATATATTACTATTTTCTTTCAAATTAATTCTGTAATTGTGATGCTTCAGCGTAGTTGCATTTTGTATAATTAATAATAATCAGCAGAAGTCAAGTAGACCTGAAAAAAACACATGTCCTTTCCCACCTAGATCTCTTCCGGAGTAAGATTTAAAGGTGTGTGTTGCTTGTGACAGCTACGTCCTGGACCAAACAAGGTCATAGAGATGACTTCTTTACCTGGTGAAGAACTGCGCCAAATTATCTAACATACCTATTCCTGGTTTGGTGTGGGAGGCATCCAATTGGAAGCAAGAAAGGCCTAATAAATAACAAGGATGGAGAGATCATAAAACAATAGATGAAGTACTTATAATTTGGRGATTTATATTGTTACTGCTATTTTCATTTAACTTGTTTAATAGCACTGTAGCTGAGTAAATGTTATATTCGGGATGGATATTGGCAGTTAGCAAGGGACTGCTTTGGCTCATAATCCTTGCTTGCCCAGCCTGACTTTTGTTCTTAAAGACAGTTGAGCACATGCTTGCATGTCAGCCAGGAGTTGTGGTTTGCCTCCACACYGAGTTTACTGCTGTGTTTTCCTCTGGACTGGTGCAGGTTTTGCCAGTCTGTTGTTGGGGCAGTGGTGTTTTAATCTGACATAGTGACTTGTGAGGTGAAGGTGAGTTAAGTCTTAGCTTTGTATGTCAGTGAAATGTGGAACATCAAATATTGCTTTTAAGGGAAAATGTGTTGAGGGAAAACAAATAACTGATTTCCATGACACACTTAGAGAAACGGAAGCTTTTCTTTATATGTAGCTGATAATTTCTATTAATATATTTATGGAATCCACTATCCACCAGTTATGATACTTAACTTTAAACAACTTTTTGTTGCATTCTTTGTTTTTCCAAACATGCTGTTCCAAGTAATGGCATAACACCAGCAAGTGTTTATTTTGATCTTGCTGTCTATTTCCTTTAGTTTTTTTTTTCTTTCTCTAGCACTGTGCTGCATGACTTTAATTATGGAGTTCAAATTAATAAGAAGTAAGTATAAAAATAAATATAAGGATATATTTCTTTAGACTGTGTAAGAAATTTCTATAGTAAATCTGTCAGCCCAATCTTATTGCCTGGATATTAACCTGAGGCATGTAAATTAAGATCATATTAAAACAGTCTGATAATAGAAGAAAGCAGATGTAAGACTTTTGCTCTTACTTCCTATGATATTTGTTGTAAGCAAATGGGATTATAGATGAGGTGGCAGTCTGTAACAAGGATGCTCACTGGTTAGAATGCTAATCAGAATTAGAATTGTCTTTAGTGTTTCACTGTCAAGATGGAAGAATGTTAATTTGGTTTCTGTAAGGTCTATTTTGAGTCTGATATTTGTAAGTATTTAGTCATACAAGTGATTATTGAAATTTAGGACAAGTGCTGTTTTTGCAGAAGATGCTAAGTGGGGAGGAGCTGCAAGCATTTAGAGATTAAAATTTAGGATTTTCTTGACAAGTTGAAGGAATGAGTTGACGTAAGATGCAGTTCAAAATGGAAACAGTACTGATCTGCGCTAGGTAGAAGCAAGCAACTGCACAAATGAGAGCTGAGGAAGTGGACTGTGTAAACAGAACAAGATCTGTGGATGGATCGTTGTTCTCTGGAGCTTTACTAGTACAAAATACGGGCAGAGAAGTGTTCCTGGGGTGCTAGGACTGSGAGACCCACTTCTGATTGCAAATTGAAAAGGACTCTAAGAGTAATGGAAATGATTGGAGGTGTAAGAAGAAAGATTAAAAGTACTAAAAGTGCTAGGTCTGCTTTMGAACAAAGGAGAAAAAAAAAAGGGAGACCTGCTATGATTTTGAAAACGTGTGGAAGAGGGTTGTGCATGGTTGTAACCATGGAAGAGGAAAGTAATGCTGTTCTTCAAATCTACTGTGAACACAGTGAATAGAACTGGAAATAGTGTTCTTGATTTGCAGCAAAGGAGCTATGGGTAAGAAAAAAAAGGATGTAAAGATAGCAGAACTGTAGGGTGGATTATATAGGTGCTATGTAAATTATGTATCACTTTTTTTTTTAATGGAACAAACCAGATGTCTGTTAAGAACGCTTGATTTTAATGTATCCTCCCATATAAGCATGGGGAGGACTAGAGCAGTCTCTTGAAAATCTTTATAGTTTACTTACATACCTKTATAATCTGCTTATAGTATACTTCTTTCTCTACTAAGAATGTTGGTGTTGTGTGTTGTACTGGATGAAAAAGTGTATACTAASGTAGTAGCTTGACTCTGAGTCCATGTCACTCATTTGACAGTCCTATGGTGATCAGTGGTTGAGACGGGGAARAAAAGATCAAGCAATGGATTGATTTTTAGAGGCAAATAATGGTTATTTGCTTGTGATATAAGTGTCAAGACAGAAATGATACATTTCCTGAGCAGGAGATACTTGCAGATAATGTTTATTTGATTTTTTTGCTGTGATAAGTAGGAAAGTTAAGTGTCCTAATTGAATATTCTGATACTATTAAGTGCCAGAGTGAAAATAATTAGGCTAGATACTCACTGTGATATTTAATTATATTATAGTTCCACCAGTTGACTTTTGTGTTTTTTAAAGAATGAGGCACTAATTCAATATTTATTTTCAAAATATTCTTAGTCCCAGACCTCATTTATTACAGCGTGCAGAATTACGGAAAGATGGAAGCATTATCTTGAGGTCATCTGCCTTCAAAGCCAACCAACACTGAATCAAACCAGTTCTTGCATTCTCTAGCTGAATCTTGAAAACTTCCAAGGATTGAGATACCACTGCTCTGGGTACCCTGTTTCAGTGCTGCTAAAGCCTCTGCTCTACCCTCCTAGTGAAGATTTTCCTGCTATCCTGATCCTCCTCTGACCCCATTAGATCCATTACCAGAACATCTGCTTTGTAATCATTACTGAATTTACCTTCAGAACTGCTTCTGATAATAGTATTGCAGTTTCATAAATRAGGCCTTGAACTGTGGTTGTGGATATTTAGAATTTTGCTCGTGATGACATCTGAGATGCAGAAATTTACCACTTATTTTTATAATACACCCATTAAAAAAGGCATCACTTCTAGAGAATCCTTTACAGATGTATGTAATTTTCTCTACAGCTTGGAACAGTCCATTCARTGTGGCTTAGTATGGCTCTTACTGCATTTGAAATTGAGATTAAAAATGGCTTACTTAGAGGCGTATGATGAATTAATGAAAGACTTAAGAAAAGAATTTAAAGAATCCCAATTCCCTGTTCTTTCGGGGTATGCTACTTTACTGGTAAAGTAATTTGGTTTTAGTTTAAGACATTTCAACCTCTATTTCCACAAAATGAGATGCGTACGATTAATGGATAGTTGCCAAGAGCAGTTTAATCAATCTGATTTATCACTCTGAAGAGCTCCTCCATGAATGTAGTTTCTCTTGAGCTCCCCGGTCATTAAAGGAATAATATGTAGCTACTTTCCTTTTCTGTAGTCGTGTTCTCAAGCCTTCTGTTTCTACTGCTAATACAAATAATTTCATATAAATACAAAGCAAATGTGACAAAATACAATCTTAAGCTCACTTTTCTTTTTCTTAACGCCACTCCTACATTCTGTWGCCTGTACAAGGGAAACTGCAAGATAATACTTATCATTAATATGTGTTCAGTTCAGTTTGTGATTGCAGTACCAGCAGACTTCTCCCTCTTTTGTTTTAGCCTTTGGATTTTCATCAGTCTGGAGCTAGAAGATTCTCAKAGAGCAAAAAAGCTGAATATTGGATAAAACTAAGGAAAGTAGTTCTATATAAGATACTTYAGAAAAAAAACCACACACTTTTACTTTATACATGCGTTAAGACTTCGACTAATCTGATTTTGTGTCATTAAGAATGATAAATTTAAAATGAGTTTGAGGAATATAATTGAGTTGTCAGTGTGGGTTTTTTGCTTTTGTTTTGTACTTCAAGATTTCTTTTTAAAGATACTTTGATACAATGAATACAATGATTAAAGATACCAAAACACACAATATTTTTAAAAATAAAGATACAGTGTTACCTGTCCCTTTTCTGAAACCTGAAAATTCCATTTATGTCTTCTCCCTAGTAACATTGTGTTGACTGTAATACGCTGGACAGTATCAAGGCAGTGCTTTTGTAGAAGCTGTCTGGAAAAACCTGTCTGCATCTGTTTCTGACTTAAAATAAAATGRAAGAAATAATTACCTGACAGAGGCTTTGCATACTCTCATGTTCTTCTGCTTTTATGAAAATGTCTTTATTGCCTTTATTTTGTTTTTCAGATGACTACTCTGGGCAACCTGACACCCTCAAGCACTGTGTTTTTCTGTTGTGATATGCAAGAAAGATTCAGACCTGCCATCAAGTATTTTGGTGATATCATCAGTGTAGGTCAACGACTGGTATGTTTATTCCTTTTTTGTGGTAGCAATTTTTATCACATACGTAAATTATCATTTTATACCACAACCAGTTACAAGCTGTTTGCTTTTGAATAATGCTGTCTTTCCTCTAAGCTTTTTTTTTTCCATTTTTTTTCCTCTCTTACAGCTTCAAGGTGCACGACTCTTAGGAATTCCAGTTATTGTAACTGAACAGTATCCCAAGGGTCTTGGCAGCACCGTACAGGAAATTGATTTAACAGGAGCTAAGCTTGTACTACCAAAAACAAAATTTTCAATGGTATTGCCAGAAGTAGAAGCAGCGTTAGCAGAGATTCCTGGCGTCCGCAGTGTTGTCTTGTTTGGAGTAGAAGTATGTGCCTTGCCATTCTCTTACTGTGTTATGATATTATATATTAGCTAACAATAACACTGTTGATTTCTGTAATAAATTTATATTGCTCAGATATCTTCTATAAGTTAAATTATTATTTATTGTACTAGCCTCTAAAATCACTCATAAAATGTGAAGTTACGTATTTAGGAACTACATGCTGTCTCAAACTTGCTTGGCATTTAAAACTTAAGCTGAAGTTAGTAAATGATTAGTAAATGATKTCATGGATGGAAAAATGTTTTAACCCTAGTCAATTAAAGCCCCTACTCTAATTTGGGGTTGTACTTCTTATAACTATAGATTGCAGCTCTTGTCAKCATGCTCTTCCCTTTTTTCTTGCAGACTCATGTCTGCATCCAGCAAACAGCCCTGGAATTGATAGGCAGAGGTTTGGAGGTTCATATTGTAGCTGATGCCACTTCATCGAGAAGCATGATGGACAGAATGTTTGCTCTTGAGGTAATGTTTCTTAAGAGTTTCTCTATGCTTTGAATCTATATATTAATTTTCATGTCTGTTATAAACTTAAAAAACATGTTGTAAGGTCAGTGACAAGTGGACAGATGTAGACTTGAAGAGGTGAATGTTGTGACTAGCTAGTAGCTTAGAGGTAGCTTAYTGTTTTTTCCTCCTTAAATAGGAACTTATTATGTAGAACCTGTTTTGGATTGCAGTCTAGGTTTTATTCTAAACACATTCATTCTACTCTCTAAACTTCTTGAAATATAATGTGATATTGCAAGTGTTCAAAGCTCCATCTTGAATGTGTGTTCTGCTCTCTCTTCTGTATTAGTGCAAATTAAAGCTTAATTGCCAGAATAATTTTATAAATTATTCCCATGAGTTTAGTCTAAATGTTAGAAAAAGTGGAGATAAATATAACATAAATTAAAAGCATATGTAACTTTGTGGTAGCAAATTTATGCAAGTGATTTTATGGTAGTAGATTCTAAGTTGCCTACAGGCATCATTGTTGTAATTCAGAAATTGGCATTTGTATTATATTTTGCAGTTTGGAAATTAAAACCAATAATAACTGATAACTACACTATTTTATACTGCTTTCATAGAATCAGAAAAGCTTTAATTTCTTTTGGTTCTAGTGAATAGGACAGAGGCTAAAGGAGAGTCATGAGTCTGTAGCAATTGATAAAATCTGTGACTAAATGGAAGGTTAATGTAGTGTGTTTCATAATGTATTATGATGTATATAGAGTACAAGAATGATTGAGTGCATGAACTTTCCAAGTCAATGCAATGTAGAATTAGACAGAATATATASAAAAGAACAAAACTTGAATGTTTAGCTTGCTTAGTGTGTGTTTGTATGTCTGATTATCACCCATACTGTGTCTGCAAGCATCAAGATTGGTTTAGAACTTGAAGTACTAATTAATTACATTTGCTTCTAAATAACTGCCTGGAGGAGGCAAGAGCTAGATACAGTAGGGAATAGGAGGCCCAGAGAAAAAGGACAGATACAAAGGCAATTAGTGATCCTGTTTGACCATGGTGATTACTCTTTTTAAGAAAATGGGCAAAACATCAGAGTATTGGAAAATTCTGGTTTAGACTACATGTATAGCTATACTGACAGTTTTTAGGCACATTCTTATCATTTATGTGCTTGGTAGTGGCTTTCGGCAGCTTGCTGCATACCTGGTAGATTGAGATAATGCTCACTGTGCTGTAGGTCTCAGGATCCTTCTTACCGTTTTCAAGATTAGTGTAATATTTGTCTTTCTTAAATTAATGGGGATCCTCTCCTGGTCACAGTGACCTTTCAAGGCACTTGCAGTGATAATTTATGTATTTATTTTTAGCTTAGTTTCTTCCTCAGGGAGGAGCTTTTGAGAATGCTATTCCCACTTTTGCATTCAGTTCTCCATACTTTCCTTCAAGTACTGTGTCTTTAGCTAACTGGAGGAAGTGACTAAAACACTAAGGACTGTGCAAGGAAAAAGTCAATGTTCCTTTTTAACAAAATCTGATGAGCTCCTTCCTTGTCTTGAATGTTAGGCTAAAGACATTATTTTCTTAGGCCTAATTTAGCTTATGATTGTTGCTATTCTTTTAAATTGTATATGCAAGCTCTCGGATTTGATTTGGGCAAGTGTTCAAAACTCCATATTTAACATCCAGTTGTGTCCAATGTTTGTGCAAATTGCATCAGATTACTGTTRTTAACAGTACTCCTTTTTAACAGTATCATTCTGTGATCTTCATGAAATGTAGATAAAATCATTTGTTTGTGATATATTTACTTTTTGTGGTGCTGAAAAACATATTTTTATACTCTGTGATGAGCATATTCTGTAGTTTTTAAGTTAAAGAATTGACTTTGGACCTACTTAGACTGAAATGAGGTGTTGATTAAAAGCAGCTGTTGGAATATTATGATACAAAGTCTGTAGAAGAATTCTTCTTTCCCTCTTCTGAGATTGTTGATGTCAATCTACTATATAACTACCAAGATCAAAATGCTAGTATAGAACAAGCTGTGAGAAAAAAGTCAGTTACAATTATATTTAATGCTTAATACTTTTATCCTGTACTTGGCTTTTTTCCCAGACCTTTTAGATCTCCTGCAAGAGGGTGAAGAAAGCTTTCCTCAGGGAAAAAGGATGGTAATAGAGAGGGGGTTGGGTCTTCTACAAGGTTGTGTGTTTAAATCTGGTTAGGCGAGGGAACCTATTTTAACTAGGAAGCTAATTCTTTCATCTATAAAGGTACTTCCTTGCACACTGCCTGAGATTTCTTCCTTCTTTCCCCTTCTTACCTACAGAATAGAACAGTCGATTTCCATCCTGGTTTTACAAATTACATTGGTAAATGTTGCAGTGGAATGGGTGATAGTTTCACTAATAGATCTTATTTTTAAAACTGACACCGCCTCCCCCCAACACACACACTTTGGTGTGTGCTCATTCACACTTAAAAAGAATCTCACTTTTTTTTCTCCCCACTGTTTTCTCTTTCAGCGTCTTGCTCGTACTGGAATTATAGTTACTACTAGTGAGGCTATATTGCTGCAGCTGGTAGCTGATAAAGAACATCCAAAATTCAAAGAAATCCAAAATCTCATTAAGGCAAGTGCTCCTGAGTCAGGGCTCCTTTCCAAAGTTTAAAGAAGATGTGCAAGAGAATTGTATTGCTTTAAGGATGAAGGAGAGCTGTAAGCGCACATGCACACATTCTTTCACACAAATTCTGGCAGAAATATAAAATTAAAAGTTGACATATTTGTTCTTGCCTTAGCAAAAATCGTTTGGTTATACTCCTCAGTGCCCATGTGTTCTCTTTAGTTACAGCTGTCAAAGGCTATTGATACAATAGGAGCCTTTTGTTGTCAGATTTTCTGTTTATTTTTAAAAGGTTAACAGAGGTGCCTGCTAGTCTACTCTATACCCACTGATTGTAACAGCTCAAAAAAGTGCATACTTCTGTGAAATTTTTGTTGTGCACTTTGTAAAAATGTATTGTGGTGTTATGTTCTACTTCTGTATTCATAGAAGATAACTATGTGTTGAATAAATGTGATGTTATAAACTGTGCTGATCTACATAAATGAAACTATTTTAATAGAGTATAATTTTAAAAGTGAACAAGATATGTGGACAATGTGTGCATTTTTGTTCTCTAAGGTAATGTTTAAATGCTTTGCTTGTTCAGTAGACAAGACATACAGATCGAGCAGCCGTTGATGTTTGATTGCCTTAGGCATCTGAAGTCTGCATCATGATTTTCAATTAAGCTGAACTTCTGACTACCCAACCATCTTTATTTAACAGTACATTAAAAAAAAAAGTTTAATGTGCTGTATATAAAGAACTAGTATAAAGTTATTCAGTACCAGCAGAAGACTACCAAAGGTTTAAATAAATTGTTAACTCCAAGCAATTAAAGAACAAAGCTTTTCAGCTTTAAATACTGAATCTAATACTATATTTAGATTTACTTTTATCATGGTTAGATTTAATAATCTTTCTCTGATTCGCTCACGGGGCCCAGCAGGCTCAGCATCAAGCCTCAACTTCTTTAGGTATAGCTGCGTAGGCTGCAGTTCAGCATCTGTTGAATGGAATATGACTAAAAAGCATCATTCAGAAAATGAGCATCTGTAACTTGTTGAAATATTTTCTTTCTGGAACCAAAATTTTAACACAAACTGTTCATAAAGGCACTTCCTTCATGTTCTAAAGGCTTAAAAATGTTGTATAAAGTTTACAGTGCAACTGTGACATTTATTTTTTTAAAAGAATTCTAGAAGATACCATGCTGAACACTGATATCCTTGGTAGAAAACTAATTATAATGCATATATTGTTTTAAATTGCTTTTTTTCCCCACAAGATGKCTCTAAAAGAATTGTTTCAGAGAATTATAACCTTTATATGTTCAAATCAAATAAAATGTTAACATTCACTGTCTCTCTTAGGCTTGTGATATTTATTGAAAAGCAAATCCCAAAAGCTTTGTTTATCAGAGGCCTTATTCTATTTCTGCAGCTGTGAAATTTCTGTAGATGTCATGGGAATTTTGTGTAAAGATCAAGAATGGATAATATCCGGTAATTCTTGTCCTCTGTGTCTTGTAATAGTGTCATTTAGTGTTGCAGAATTTTAGGAGTTTATATTATATTTCAAGTTAAAGGCAGAGAGGGGCATTAAGTTAAAGAACCCCTTTGTCCTATATCACTGACCTACTTTTATCTTCTTTTCTGGTGTATTAATCATGTTGCCTGGCAGTTTAAAGTCCACTTATATAAATCAACAGCTGTGCACAAAAATATCATGAATTTCTTATGAAATATTGCTTTTGCATTTGCTTTTTGTTGACTTTATCTAGAGTTAGTAACAGGAGAAACGCTAATTTTTTAACATTTGTTTACTTGTAGAAAAATACTTCCTCAATGCTAAATAATTTTGAGATAGTTAAGGTACTAGTAAAAAGTTACTGCTTTTATAGAGACATCAGCTAGAGGAGAGATGTCATAAATTGCTTTCCAGGCTCCTTTCCTATGGTTTATATGGCAGTAAGAATCACTTGGGGACAAGGTGACGCTAGAGAAGAGTCTTCTAAACCATCTGATATTGTGTGTTGCTTGTACTACTCTTTACTTGCATTTTTGCCTAGCCTGCTCTGGAAAAAGTAGATTTTTTTTTTTTTAAGGATGTCAATTTTTATGTTTTTTTTCCATGAGCTTAAAAAAAAAACCCAAAAATTTCCYGTTAAAATTGGGCCTTAGATGTGAATTAAAGGGCAGAATGCGTGAAGTCTTTTTCCTTTATCTGCGTTAATCCGTATCACATGGATCACTCAGGTGAGATTCTTAACAGTGCTTATTTAAAAAGGAAAATAAGGAAGTGATGGCCATATTTCAGTTATGGATAGTAAGTTTATTTCAAAGAGAATTTTCCTTGTTTCCATGGTTTTATTAACCTGTATTTTCTTTTCTCCAAGAAGTAGGTTATCTTGTAGATTATCAAAAACGAGTGTGAGAAGAGTAGTATAGCCCAATCCTAAACAGTGTTGCTTACCAACAGCTCTTGTTAATTTCACTTGAAATTGTGGGGCTCATAATCTATGAAGATTAACAGTAACCTTTTGCTAAATGTGKATGACTGTATCACTGTAGTGATATAGTCAGACTATCCGTTTGACTATACGTTAACTTGAAAACTTAAAAGGAAGAACTAACATTAGTTTTCTAGACTTTTCTATACTTAGCTTTTTTCTGTTCTCAACCCATTATTTTGATAGTTCTTYCTATGAAATAGCAGGTCACACTATTCTATAATTATTTTTCAATAAGCTGTATACTGCTCTTAAAATAAGTTGCATTTGCAGTTTTGCCCTACAGGAATAGAAAATATCAATATATATTCTTATATATATTCCTTCTGGCAGAGAGAATTCCTTATGGCATACAGATATAATTTTTTTTCTTTTTTTAAGAAATTTAATTCCTAAGTGCCAAGCTGTCCTTTATGTGAAGTCTTCATTTGGTTAGGGATATGAATCAGTTTTTACCTACTGTAGAATCATTRAATCTCTCTGGGCAAAGTGGGAAAATAGTTCCCGATAGGAAAGGCTGATTTATTTTCCTTAGTAGGTGTTCTATTGCAGTGCAAAGCTGCTGGTGTATTAATTCTGTTCAAAATGCAAAGATTTGAATATGTGTGAAGGGTATACCTGTGAAAGAACTAGACAATGTTGATATAAAAGCAAAACTCAGAGAAACTATGTTTAATGGAGGGTGCTGCAGCATAAGCCTGTGGCAATGTTTCTGTGCCTTTTTGTTGTTACTTTGTTGTGAGGCTGTATGGGTTTTGTTTGTTTTTCATTTCTTTTGGAGAGTTTAGGTGCTGAATTTGATCTGACCTGCCTGAAAGTTGACCCTGTTTTATTTGAAAAATTGTGATCCTACATTTTTTTTTCCTCCTGCCTGTAAATTTTGTATGAAGTTGTCAAAGTCAGGTCTTTGGTACCGTTAGKTCTTTTTATTACGGTTTGGAAAACCTGAAATGAAGGATAAACAGAAAAATAGCTATTGACAAGAAGTATTTATTATAGTCATCACAAATGGCTAGAGAAATGACTTGCAACTGCTCAACCATTATTTTATACTTTCCTGATAGTAGCTCTCAGGAAAATCTGCAGGACAATAAATCACAGTACTTATTGATTATGTTCACCATTAGGCATCGTTTTTCTCTTTAAGTATTTATTATATTACCAAAAAGAAGACACTGATCTTTCAGGAGGCAAGAATCAAGACTACTGTTTCTGACAAATTTTTTTGTTTGTTTGTTTTTTTGTTTTCTAGAAGTCTTACAGATTTTTGTCAAGATGTTGTTGTGAAACTAAAACTGTTCTACTGCTGCAGATTTGTACCTTATGTAAGGGAACAGCACTGCATGTCAGTGCTTTATCACTTTACAAACTTTATTCTAATAATTGTAACGTAGTAGCTAGTGCCCTGAATATAGGAAAACAATATTAGGGAAAATCAAAGCCTTTCTTTTGAAAAGAGATTTTATCTAGTACTGCTGTGTAGCTCACAGACAACTATCATTCTTTGGAGTATTTTGTTTGTTAAATGTTATGGCAGTGAAAGAAGGAATTAGTGATTTGTAGAGTCTGTTTTGCACCTCTAGGTGAATTGTAAAGGATAAATGATAATAGATGGATATTATAGATGTGCTTCAGATAGAGCAGATGTTCTGAACCTACAAGAGGGTTATGGCAAGAAATCAATGAAAGAGAACTATTGTATAGTTGTCTAGTGCCGGTTTCTTAGAGCTTCTTCAGAGACAAGGTACTTTCATGAAGCTGTTGTTAGACCATTTTGTAATCTCCAGTTACAGTAGAGSTTTCCATAGATTATATTCTATTTCTTCTCTTAAAGTAGAACTGTTTATAAAGATAAATGCAGAAGGTGGGGTCTGTTCTTTCATTGCTCATTTGAATTGCACAGCTTTTTTTTCTAGGAGATAAAGGAATATTGGCAAAGTTCTGCTGTGAATAGATTGAATTTATTAAGTATTAGCATGCTTAGATCAGTGTAATTGACTTAGTAACTAACTGCCAGGGTTGGCAGCTCTCCTGCCACTGACAGCATTAGGTTTTGCTTTAATGAAATCTTTTTATCTGCTCAGAGAAAAGACAGGGCAGACAAATTAAGAGCACTGGAAAAATAGGTGGTGAAGTGCAAAAATTATGTGGAGAGAATAAAAGCTTTTTTCTTTTCCTTCTCTGTTTACTCCTGTAATTTTTTTTCATTGAAATGTGAAAATACTGCAACACTTATAAAACATATAATTGCATACCTAAATTTTGTAAAAACTGATTAGGTCACAGTAGTCCTTTCAACCATTTTGGCATTCTATTTTGTACCAAGCTGCACAGTCTGTTGTGAATTCATGTTTTCTGTGTTAGGACAATCCCAAACTGTGCCCCACCTCCAAAACAACAACAACAAAAAGGGAATTCTTATCCTTAGTTGATTCATTAGTGTTAGTATTTCAATTGGTATTAGTATGTGTCTAAACCAAATTTAATTTTAATCTTTGAAGATTGCTTATATGTACATATTATATATTTTAATGAATAAATGGAAGATTGATTAGTACATTACCAGCATTGGGACTTAAACTGAAAAAGAAGACTAAGCTGTCAGTCTGTAAGAAAGTTCACATATTGTTGCAGGCATCCTGTGTGATAATACACAGGGCTCTGGAACAGTGTTGAAGAAACCATGCTGAATAGGACATAGCACATTTAGATACTGGGGTACTGTTTAGTTACTGTATATTTGTATTGAGGCTTTGAAGATCATGGAGTGTTTGTCGTGTTCAATAACCCTTCAAGGTCTTCCTAGTCATAATGATTCTATGAGAGGAAAGTGGGAGAATTTTGCTGTTTGATCTGAGAGCAACTTCAAGGCCACTGATAGAGCATTAGTGGGGAAAAAAAAGGCAAACAGCATAAAACTAGGAGAATCTCATGTGA